CTCTTCACAGGCCAAGTAGGACTGGCCTCATCTCCCCGCCTCTGCATGGTCTGTGATTTTAGCCGGCGCCCTCCTTCTCAGTCCCTTTCTTCCCTTCTGTGTGCACCAAACCACACTGACATTCTCTCTGCTCAGGAACAGGGCACATTTTGAACCAGGTTATCACGTAGCCCAGGCTAACTTCCAATTTGCTACGTAGACAGGGATGACCTTGAACCCCTAGTCCTCTTGTCACCATCTTCTGGGTATGACAGTCACTTCTGTCACCGCTGGTGTTTTATAGTACTGGCCATCACACCTTCATGTTAAGCCAGCATTCTGCCAACGGAGTCACATCCCCGGCACCCACAAGACCATTTTCCGTTCAACCGCGGCACATATGATTTCCTGATTAATCATGTTGCTATATTTGTTTGCCTCTCTGCTGGAGAATGATGAATAAGGTGCGTGAATGTTTACATATGCTGTTAAACATGTGTAAATATGTAAATATGCTTAAACTTAGTATGCTTTTTACTTACAGTCACGGTCACCATACCAATGTAATGCAACCCCATTCCTCAGTCCCTGGCCTGCGGCCCTTCTCATGGATTAGGTCTTTAATCTTCAGGGCAGTCTTATGAGGTCAGGACTGTTATTATCTATATTTTATTGTTGACAGAATCAAGGCACAAAGAATTGCAATGACTTTTCCAGGCCTGAACCAGATAAATAGGGGGTAAAGGGATTTGTGATCCGGAAAACGAAAGGCAGACACTTGAGGGCTCCACTCACAGAGTGAGGAAGGACAGACCCTCTGCCTTTAACTGTTGGGGAGACAGGAAAAGTGAGGAAACAGTCACATCCAAATAGGAGAAGGGGTCAGCAGAGTAGGAACAGAGAACTTTATTACATTATCCAAGAGTCTCTTGCTATTAGAGTATGTCAGAAAATACTGACCGGCCTTCACATATGCTGAGACTTCTTTTTTTCACTAAGGTGACTATTTGGCATTGTCTTTGTGCAAAGTGGGGAGGCTGCAGGTGAGGTGGTTTAATTATAAAACGCACTGAAGGTTAGGGATGTGGATTAGTCTGTAGAGTGCTTGCCTAGGGCAAACCCCTGGTGTCCTGGTCACTGCTCTGTAACTGTGACGAGAGACCATGACCATGGCATTTAACTGGGGCTGAAATTACAGTTTCAGAGGTTTAGTCCATTATCATCTTGGCGGGGAACATGGCGGGGTGCAGGCAGACATGGTGCTGGAGAAATCCACGGGCTAACACGGGAACCAACTTGGGCTTTTGAAGCCTCAAAGTCCACCCCCATAGAGACACACTTCTTCCAACAAGGCCACACCTGCTCCAATAAGGTCATATCTCCTCATCTTTCTGAAGTAGCACCACTCCCTAACGACCGAGCATTCAAATCTATGAGCCTATGGAGGCCATTCTTATCCAAACCAGCACAGCTGGGCTCAGACTCCAGCACAGTATAAACCAGGTACGATGGTATTGTGTCTGCAATCCCGGCACTTGGGAGGTGGAGGAAGGAGGATCAGGAGTCTGGAAGTCATCCTTGGCTACACAGCTAAATCAAAGCAAACCTGGTCTGCACTAGACCTTGTCTCAAAAAACAAAAGCAAATCCAACAAACAGTGAAGAAAGTCTGTAGAGATTTTATTTTCCCCCTGAAATGATTTTGTGTCTGAGCTCATTTATTTTTTTTATAGTCACCGTGAGAAAGAATATTTAAAGGTGGTTTGTGGAGGGCTGAAAATTGAACCCAAGGACCGAGAGAAAGCTGTGATCTATTGACTTTGAAAACTCATTTTGAACTCTGACACACCATGCCAGAGTGTGAGATTGCATGTGAATGTGCAATCCCCACGCTCAATGTGCCAACCTGCTCCCAGGTCCACCAAGCTGCTGGGCACGCCATGCTGAAACACCAGTAGGTACGACTAACTGCAGAGATTGAGTCACAGTTGCCTTCCCCAAGCGTACTCTTCGCTCCAGCTTGGTGATGAGATTTTTTTTTGAGAACCACAGAATCTCTGTCTGCTTCCGGTAACTCAGGAAACTTGAGGGTTAGACAATCAGTGGTCACCAAAGCTGTCCTAAGCTCCTTCACACAGAAGGAGAAAAAAATGAGACCTGGACAAGGAACGAGCAATGTGAACATAGTCTGTTAAAGGAAAAGGGGAGCTGTCTCTCCGGAGTCAGTAATTGGCTGCTTTCCCCTTTGCCTGATCCCTCCACAGAGTCAGAGACGCCATCAACTCTCACCCCTGCTCTTGGCATTCAGGCATTTACACCGGCTTGCCCTTGAGGACCTAGTAGGACAAGCCATCAACAACAGCCAAGATGTGATCCTCCTACAGCCACTGAGTAGAGCATGCCCCCAACGCGCATGTGTTACACCGCCTTTTACAAGGCAAGTCCTTCTCTCTTGCTCAGAGGCCACCACTGCACACCCTCAAACCCCCTACTTGAGCTCCGTGGCACGGTGTGACTGTGTGGTGCCCCTTAGCTCCCAACCCACCAAGGTTTCCTTCTGCCCTTAAATTGTTACACCTCAAATGGGGGTTGAGTGGGGAGTTGGAGAGAATACCTTGATCCATTTTGTCCCAACATGTTTCACTCATTTTGTAGGTTACTGATTAAATTTCTTTTTATACCACTACCTCATGGCCCACTACAGGCCCTGCCTTCTCCCTCCTGGGTATCAGCTCTTGTTCTGCTTGAAGCCAGTCTAAGATCCTTGAAGGGGTTAGAGGAGGAGTTAACTGTATTTCATCCCTGTGGCAGACCTAGGTGTTATGATCCCAGTTGAGGAAACTGAGACCAGAAAGGTTACACAATCTGCCCATCAACACACAGCCCCAAAGTTCAGAGCTGGAATCTGAACCCAGTTACAGGCTTGTGTAAAACAAAACAAGGGAACGAGGAGTGGAGGGGCTGTTTGCCTGGCTGATGTGCCTGTCTCCCTTGGTCTTCAAGAAGGTGATGTTAGAGTCTTATCACAAGAAACAAAGGCTCAGATAGGACTGAGGCGTTTTCCCTGTCTAACTCCAGAGTCTGTATATAGTAACTTACCTTAACTTCTGTTAAAATGCTTGCTTGTGCAAACCTCCCCCTCCAGCTAAACTGCTTAGCTTAGCTTCTGTTAAACTGCTTACACACACACACACACACACACACACACACACACACACACTGTTATGGTTAATTGTCACTTTAAGAGACGAACTACGCCCACTCCCGGTGACCCTCCCCTGACTCTCTCTCGCCATCTTGACTCTCACTGTTCCCCTTTTGGCGCACTTGTCCCTCTCTCCCGCTTCCCTTCTCTGTCTCTCTCCTCTTCTTCTCTTTCTTCCCACCCACCCTCTAAGTAATAAATATCCAATTCTATTCTGTATGATGTGTCTGTCCATGTGCCTGCTCACACCCCTGGGCTCACTGGGACCGGTCCTCCTGCAGTGCACCAACCCACCCGGGAACAGCCTCCGCTCGGGACCAGCAGTCAGCCTTCTCTGCCTAGGACTAGCTGCTCTATGGGCCCGCTGCCTACTGCCGCTGAGGATCTTGCAGCATTATTAACACACACCCTTGCTGAGTGAGATCCAGGGTGTATGTTTTGCTTTTAAAAGCCCTTACCTTAAACACCTAGTTCTACACTCGGGGTTCCAAGGTTCCTGGCTGGAATAAAGACTTTCAGTTGGCTATAAACTGTCCGAGTGGTCATCTCTGGTGGGCTCCCTCTAACACCCTCTTGAGGATTTTAGTCTCATGGACCAAATGGAAGCTTGAGGATAGTTTTACTTAAAATAGAGTTTTAAAAGACCCCAGGGCAGCAGGCAAGCTGAAATATTACAGCCCGTAGGAGGAGAACAGAGAAGGAAAAAAGCCTTGCTGTTTGTGTTAAGACGCCATGGAGGTCAGGCAGCTTGAAGCTACATGGTAGGGGAGGGGAATGTTAAAGGAAAAGTCAGGAAGCCCAAAGTACCAGGAGAAGCATGCTTAGGTTCTGGCCTTCATCGAAAAGAAAGGCAGAGAAAAGAAAAAAGAAAAGATGCACCTTTTTTGAATCACAGAGGTGGGCAAACGTTAGGGAGTGAGAATTCTGGGAAGGAAAAGCACATTATCTCAGTAAGGAGCTAATTATTCCACCCATTTCTTATTATGGTTTAAAGTAAGCTTGCCTTCCTAGGGGTCCCTTAGCCAGGCCATTGATGAGGCCAGCTAGGATGTTAACTCTTCACCTAGGTCGGAGATTTTTATCCTCTTGACCAGTGGTTTCCCCTTAATGGACCTTCACTGCTGCTGTGTCAGTTACGCCCTCTGGGGAGGAAACTCTACCATCCTTTAGGAGATGAGCTGAAATTGGGGACTACATATAATCCATTTTATCATGAAAATCTGGGCAGTTCTAAGTCGGTCCACTGGAAGGGCTGAAGTTCTCATCTCTACCCCCAGGTAGATCCTTGAGGAGGCGGTCGGAAACCAGGCATTCTGGCCAAAAGAAACAAGGCCACCGTGTGAACTGCAGCTTTGGGGTACCTGCCCTGCCCAGCCTGCCATTCCAGCTTCTGTCTTCTGTTCTCATAGTTTATGTTTTTATTGTGTTAATATGTTCATAATATAAAATCAGCTGGCATTTGTAGAGCCCAGGTTGTGTTCCGGGCCACTATATTAAAGTCAACATTTATCTCATTGAATCCTCCCAGGATCCAGTGCCTTTTTATGGAGGAGACAGCAGAGGTTAGGAAAGGTACTCTAGTCAGTGGCCTGATGAAGCCCTTGTTGCAATGTTCTGGGCAGAAGGAACATTTTCAAGACTTTTTGTCTTCCCCTGTGCTGGAAATAAACAAACTGGAATTAATGTCTTAAAAAAATTGAATACTAAAAAATATGCTATCTAATTTTAAAATGGTTTTCTTTTGGAAGGAGTGACTAGTTTGGAGTTGCATTATTTGTGAGGTATTTCCCCAAAGGGTCTGCAAGGCTAATCTGGTTAATTCTGGTTACTTCCTCTTTCAGTCTTTCTGTGCCTTCTCTTCTATTCTCAGGACAGCCCCCATTAGCATGTGTCTCCGGAAGGACTGAGTGGGGGGCAGGGTGTCGGGTCCCTGGGAAACTCATTTGCATACCTCTTGTGACAAAGGCGACTACATGCTGGTTAAGACAATGTGCTGTCTGATAAACAGACCGTGTCTCCAGTGTCTGCTGGGCTTGTGCCAGAGAGTGGCTGCCTTTGATACAGGTGCTGTTTATTCTTCCTGGAAGTCCAAGGACAGGACAAACTGTTACAGGACCTGCGGTCACAGCCTGTGCCCTAGTGAACCAGGTTTGGCCACCAGTTAAAAAAGCTAAATTAATATTGAAAAGCAGAAAAAGCAGAAAAAGGAGATTTATTCAATGTAGCTACATGGGGAGGAGGAATAGAAAGATCCAGTGACTCCCCTTCCTCAAATCTATCTTTGGAGTCCTGACAGGAGGATGAGGTTTAAATAGAAAGCAAGAGACATACAAACTGAGCCGTCTGGCCAAGGTGTGGTCCGCCATTGTCTGGGCTCCAAGTCTCTCCGGCAAAGCCCCTGATGAGTTGTAACTCTTTCTAGTGGAGACAGCTTTCCTCTGGCTGTCCCCAGGCTTCAGTATTTTCTTGTCCTGGAAGGAGATCCCTGGGGCGATTCCTCTGGGTCCCGAGAGAGGGACACAGGCAGGTGGGTTACACAGCCTTTTCTCGCAGAAATTCCTTGGGTCAACAATCTTTCTTAGTGTCGGATTATGGGGAAGCATTGGAATTCCCCCCAGATGCTGCCTAGCTTGGTGAAGAGGCTATAAATAAGAAAATTTTGTCTTCTCTAGCTATAAATATCTTGGGGTTCGGGGAAATGAGGGAAACACAGTGCAACGGAGAAATACTGATCAAGGTTTGCCAAGCTTTTGTTGATAAATATTTATTTCCACTTCTTGTTTTCTGCATGTTCTCCTTCCCCTTCCCTTTCCCAGCCCAGCACACACAGATAAAAAGGAAATGGAAGATTAAACAATTAACTGGGGACAGAGAACTTGCGGCTTCAGAATCTGGATAAAGTGGACCAGAAGGATGGCTCAACCGTCAAGAGCACTGCTTGCAGAGCGCCAGGGTGGTTCCTAGCACCAGCATAGTGACTTACTGTCTATAACTACAGTTCTAGAGGCTCCAGTACCCCTTCTGAGCCCTGGGGAACCTGGGCATCCATTGACTGCACATAGATGCAGGTAAAACACCATACACATAGAAAATCTTAAAGAGAATCTGGGTAGTGAAGTAATAATTTCTGTCTTTTTCCTGCAGCTGATGACTCTGAGACACCATCCTTTTTGGCAGTGGAGGCTAGAAATCTCTCAATTCAGCTTGGCATTTCCTGTTCTACTTAGAAGACATTCAAATCTAAATGTGACATAGTTGAAGACCCATCTCTATCGGTAACTGTAACCATGGAAAGAAAGGTGTTCTGAGACACACAGATTGCTTTATCTCGTTTAGTCAATGATTCTTACAAACATGCGTTCCCTAAACATGTGTTAGGTTTTTCTTAAGAAGAACTTCTCCGCCGATACAATAATAATTCCAATCAGACCAAATTAAACAGAATTAAAAGATGCTCATGTTTAATGCAATGCTCTCGGGTGGCCCTGGGAAAGCATGGAGAGGGAAAGAGGAAAGGGGAGACCATGCGAACATATGTTCATTCTCTGGGGGGCAGTTTAAGTAGCCTGTGGGAGTGGTCTTGACCCTCCCTGGGGGGGTGTCTCTGTTTGGCAGGTTTTCTTGGTCCTTCCTGGGGAAGGGTCTTCTTCCAGGAGCTGGGGTGAAGCCCCCAGGCAAACAATCCAGATGTTTTGTATTAAGGGGTGTTAGGGAGCTGGGGCGATGCTTCCCACCAAACACCAGGGAGCAAATGGTGCAGTTACATCCTTTCTGCATCTGCAGTGTCCCAAGAAAGCACCCCTGAATTTGTCTGAGTGCAGTCGTGCAGCAGCCAGGAGGCCTGCTGCCTTGGAAGCTGCTGTGGAGAGCGGGGGACAGTCTGAGACAGACAGCATCTGGTGCTCTGAAGGATCACATGTGACCTGTGAGAAAGTCTCATGGCCTTATGGCGGCTGAGGGGTGCAAAATTGTGGGGCCTAGACGCTAAACTGGGAGAATGAGACATTACGAGGGAGGTCTGTGGGGAAACCGTGGGAAGAGTGGCTGCAGTGTCCCCAACCCTCTGCTGCAGCTGCTCTGTGTCCCCGGCTGCCTTTGCGTCCTTGCTGGTGCCAGGCAGGAACTTTTAGGGGCAACCACCTGTGCTTCCAGAAGGAAAAGCTCCTGCCTTTTAAATAGCTACAGACACTCACCTGGATTGTTGGCTGTTTGTTTCAAACAAGATCCTCCAGAGAAACCCGCGAGAACAGTTCAACTTGTGTAACTTGGGCTTGGTTTTTTTTTTTTTTTTTTGGTGACAGAGTAAACGTTGGTCATTGTCGGACTGAACTTTCTTCTCAGAGGTCATCCGATTTGGCATTCTGGGAGCGTGTAATTCATGAGCTGATCTGAGCAAACTGAAGAGTTCCAGTAGGACCCAAGATGCCAGAAGACATCCTCTGAAAGCCCCTTGCTTTCTCACCTAGGCCTTGCTTTGGAAAGTCTCTCTGGTGCCTCCTTCAAGGGGAGAACCCTTCACGCTGGTGATCGTGCTGAATAAATAAAAGCAGAAGAAATCCGCCAGCGTCTAGTGCTCATTGCCAATCTAGAAAAATCCGCCAGAGTCTAGTGATCATTGCCAATCTAGAAAAAGCTGGCATGACTTGACAGACAGCAGCCACTGTCAGAAAAGCAAATCCTGCCTGGGTGCCATGCGTTGACCGTCTGTGGAAGTTGGGCTTGTTATCGGGACCTCACCCACGTTGTTTTGTCTCATGATTTTGCTCAGAAACAGACAGAAGAATATCTTGGTTCCCTTTCTATGGCTGTGATGTGACAACAGGATGACCAAGACGGAAGGGATTATTTGGGGCTCCCGGTTCCAGAGAGTTAGAGTTCGTCATCATCACCGTGGCAAGGGGCATGGTCAGGTAAGCAGGCATGGTCAGGTAAGCAGGCATGGTCAGGTAAGCAGGCACGGTACTGGAGCCATGGCTGAGATCTCATAGCGGCTCCACAAGCAGGAAGTGGAGAGTGCACACCGAGTGGACCTAAGCCTGCTCCAGAAGCGCCTCCTCTGACAAGTCCACACTTCTTCCTCCCTCCCCAACAGCCACCAACCAGGAACCAAAAACTCAAATGAGGAGACTCATTCAAAACACTGCAGAGACCGCCATCCCCCACTTGGAGCTTTTCGGTCTGCTCTTTCAGCCTCTGCTTTCTCTCATCCACTATCCTGCTGTGGGCTTTATGACTTTCTATTTCAAGGACTACGAGAATGGGGAGCAGGGCCTTGTGTCACCTTCTAAAGTGCAATGCCATGATTCAAGCAGTCTCCTCCACGCCAGTGCTTCAAGCCCCACTGTGACTGGGGGCCAGCTGCCTTTCTGGGAAGTCATGTTCCAGTTCTCTGCTTCCCAGATTCCTGGGGCTCTGGCTATCTCTTGATTCTCTAAAGAGAACAGCATGGCTGCTGCTCGAAGCCGCTATCTCAGAGCAAAGGCATGACATAAAGTGCAGAACTCAACTAGTGTGGGCTGCTCCTTGACGGCATCTGTGGCCAACGACTACATCAGAGGAGAAGGAAGGTGAAGCCCAGGGTTTCCATAGCCATTTGGCCCATTTCCCAAAGGTTTTACTAGCAGGTGTTTGAAGACAGGAAGCGGCTAGGGTGTGGTCCAGCCCTGGGCTTGTCTCTCTCATCAAAGAAGCTGGGAAGAAATCTGTAGGTCTTTGTAGGTCATTCACGTATTTGAAAGAAGTCTGGCATTCGTGCAGGGTTTGTAGGCCAACCACGTGTCTCTGTAAGGCAGAGCACAGCACCTGGTCGGTTGGTTACGGATGCTTTTTATCAAAGTTCTTTGACATTCAAGGCCTGAACAAAAAAAGTACATAGTTTTGGTTGATATTCTATGGCCCTCCAGCTGGGCTCCCCCCCCCTTCTTCCTCTTTTATGGATACTTGAAGGTTTAAATTTTCCTTTTTTTCTTCCTTTCTCCCTCCCAACTGTGTCTAATTTAATTGTCTTTCTTTCTTTCTTTCTTTCTTTCTTTCTTTCTTTCTTTCTTTCTTTCTTTCTTTCTCCCTCCCAATTGTGTCTAATTTAATTGTCTTTCTTTCTTCCTTCCTTCCTTCCTTCCTTCCTTCCTTTCTTTCTTTCTTTCTTTCTTTCTTTCTTTCTTTCTTTCTTTCTGTACCCAGAATTTTTGGTTATTGGTAAACTTTTAAAAATGCCACTGGACATGTAGACATACATAATTTATAATCAGTCATGATTGGAGCCCATGAAATCCTTTGCTTGCTTGGAAGGGATTCTAATTAGCAAGGACAGTTTCTGGTCTCCATCCTGCATGCCTTGTTAATAATAATGTTTCTAATCAGATAGAATCTCCTTCCTCTATGACTTAATCTCTCCCCATTCTGTTTCTCAATAGCCAATTCTATTGCAGTTACCTTTAATAAAAGTTGTGGTTAGCGTATGATAACAAACAGCTGACTTGTCAGAGATAAGAATGGTTGGACTCTTAGAATTTTCCAGATGTTCTCATGCTCTTTTATAACAAATTCAGTGAAAATGAGCTGCAGAGAAACCTCGTTAAAGAGCACTTGTTTACTCAAAAAGAACTCTCCAATTTAAAGAACATGCTCTTCTCCTTGTTAACGAGGCTCCCTGCTCTTTATTTTTGCCATAAGGATATTGGGTAGCTGGCCTGGCTATTCAGAACAATTTATTTTTCCTGTCATTTGAATTCCAGGTTGGGATGGTTTAATTCTTTTAAGCAGTGAGGAGATGAAGGCCGTATGAAATACGGGGGATTTACTGCCACAGTGGACAGGAGTGGCCAGGGGCTAAAATCTTGCATTCAGAAAGTATGATGATGTGGTTCTTTATGTGTGAGCGTGTAAAGGACCCCTGGGGGTAGGGAGGGAATGTCATGAGGTGCCTCTGCTGAGCCTCTTGACACTCACGTGCTAAGGCTTGTAGCGGGGAAGTCATCTCAGTCAGAACTGTGTAGGTGATTTACTTCCTTAGCCGCTCATATCTTGCTATCGATTGATGACTTAAATATGCATTAAGCTGCGGATATTTCTTGGAGCTATTTTGTGCCATAGCCCCACCCACCTGCCTCCTGCCTGGTCTCTGCTTCCTCTCTGGAAACTCAACAAGGGATGCCTCAGGCTCAGAGGTCCTAGCCCTGTTCCTTTCCACCACAGTGTCTGTGCTAAGATTAACCCTTCCTTCTCCGAGGTGCTTCTTGTTGGTACTGGCTGCAGCGATGAAGGTAACACAGTCTCTTTGGACTGTTGTGGAATCACCCATGGGTACTCCCTTGTCTAGGGGTCTTCTTACATTTCCAAACCTGTGGAAGCTGATCACTATCATCCAAACTTGAATCCATCAAAAGCTGCTCCCGCCTGCTTGGATGTTTTTCTGCTTAGCATTAACTCTCAGCTTGACACAGCTTCGAATCCTGGAGAAGACTTGTTTTTTTCAGGTTGGTCTGCGGCCTTGTCTGTGAGGGGTTGGTTGAATTGTCTGAACTGATGGAGAAGGACCCAGCTCCCTGTAGGTGGTCCAAGACTCTACAGAAAAACTAGCTAAGGGGCCTGGAGAAATGGTCTAGCAATTAAGAGAAGGGGTTAACAACAGTACATACTGCTCCAGCATAGGACCAGGGATCGATTCTCAGCAGCCAGGTTGGATGTCTAGAACTCCAGGTCCAGGGGATCCAGACTCTTCTGGACTCTACGGGCACCTGATGTACACACAAACCTACATATAGACAGGCATAAACATAATTAAAAATAAAATCTAAAACGAGAAGGGAAGGAAGGAAGGACAAGAATAAGACCACTACCACAATTTTTGAGTCAAATTTGAAGCAAGCTTTATTAAATACTGGCCAGGACCATGGAGACTGGTGAGGTCCAAACCTGGGATTCCCAAAGTATGGCACCAAATTATATTAGTCAGGGGCTTACAAAGGCAAAACTCGTAAGGTGATGTACTTCCCACCATCATCCAATCAGGTGCAAGCATGCATCCTGACCAACTTTCTGCCTCCATATTTCCACCTGTGTGGGATCAAGCGTACATCGTGTGCCTTTGGGGCAAACATGCTTGTTTACAGAAGTGAAAACACCGGACTTGTTTCTTACAGGAACGACCCCCAGAAGTTCGGGAAGTTATCTGTCCTTGGGCAAGGGGATCTTATAGGTTAGAGGCATTTTTGCTTTTTAGGTCTCTTAAGCGTAGTAATTGAAACTTGAAACACACCGTTCTCCATCGCAGTGGACCAAAGAGAAGAGCCATCTTACAGCATCCTTGGATAGCGGGGTGGCACCAACAGTGACCACACCACACCCTGTGCCACGCTCTGTATCCATATACTGCCTGGCACAGCCTCCTGCAGTCAGTCCAGGCTGTCCTTCCTGCCCCACGGAGTACACACAGGTCTTCAGTAAATGTTTTCCTGTGTAGGTGGGTGATATCGCCATGTTCTAGTTTAATTTCTGTTGCCGTGACTAGTAATACCCTGCCCAGAGAACAAATTAAAAAAGGTTTATTTATCTCACAGTTTCAGATTATAGTCCATCACTGTGGGAGTTTGAATATAATTGGCCCCATAATCCCCTGGGGACTGGCCCTATTAGGAGGTGTGGCTTTGCTAGAGTGGCTACGGCCTTGTTGGAGGAAGTGTGTAACTGTGGCAGCAGGAGTTGAGGTTTAATTTCGTCAGTGAGTATGTGACATGTACTCATATACAAATATATACAAATGTTCATATGTGTGAATTGTCAGTTGACTTCCTATTGCCTGCCACTTGGCTATTTATTTCTCCAGTATGCCTGCCTGCATCCCCGCCATGATGGACCGAACTTCTGAACTGTAAGTGAGCCACCACAATTAAATGTCTCCTTTATAAGAGCTGCCGTGGTCATGGCGTCTCTTCACAGCAACAGAAAACCCCAATTAAGACATTCACTAGGGGAAGGACGTCAAGGCAGGGATTCAAGGGCTAGCCACATCATACCCAGGGTCAAGGCATAAAGAGACAAATAAGCCCTTGCTGTTGCCCACTTAGCCAGCTTTCTCGGTCACAGCTCACACTCCAGCCCTGAGACTCAAAGCCCAGTGGTAGATGCCGCTAATGTTCAGACGGTGGAGCAGGATTGAGAGAGGCCGTTCTGTGTTATACATGGAGAATTTGTTCCAAAACAATGCATACTAAATAAAGAATAACGGGCTCTTCTAATGGCCCTAGGTTCACAGTGTCCATCTTCAGGGGAGGCCAGGCTGTTTCAGAGATCTCGTCCTGGTATTTTGATCCATTAGGTGCACTCTGCCTACAATTTTCCTGAGCAAAATACAAACCCTAGGGTTGCAGACCTAGGTTCCCGGCACCAGGAGGAAATCACCAGGTGTATGATGCTTAGTGGTCAGCGTCGGTTTGTCACAGACGGAACAACCTGAGGAGGGAGTCTCGATGGAGTTATCTAGATTGGATTGACTTGGGAGCATCTTCCTTGTGAGCTGAGGTGGGAAGCCCCACCCTGAATGTGGGCAGCGCCATCTCAGGGCTGGAGTGTGAGTTAGTGGCAACAGCCCCTTCATCTGTTCTTTTGTAGGGCTCTGGCGAAGGAAGGGATTTATATGTGGCAGGGGGAGACTCGAGTGGCACATTTGGAACTTCGCCCTGCCTGGCCTCAACCCACCCGGCTTCCCAGTTGGTGCTGGAAGAGGCTGTAACCACGAACTAGTTTTCAGCTGAGAACCACCTAGTGTCGGGCCTGTGTTCAGCATCTCGTCTGCTTTTGCTTTTTAGGTTAGACCCTTACCTTGTTTTAATAGTAAAGTTAGCAAACGTAGATGGACAGAAAGAAAAAAAAAAGCAAGCACCGTAAAAGGAAGAATTACCCAGGAGAAAAG